ACGGCGTTGTACGGGTGCGAAACATGGACAGTGGGAGCGGCGGAAAAGAAAAGGTTAGAAGCGTTCGAAATGTGGTGTTATAGGCGGATGATGAGGATATCGTGGGTAGAAAAGGTTAGAAATGAGGAGGTATTGGAAAGAATAGGAGAACAGAGGTCATACCAATCAGTAGAATACAACTATAAATATTTATTCGTACTGATTAGAATTAGTAAATTTCTGGTACAATCCCTTGCAAATAAATGAAGATGGTGTGAAAATTCCTGTCGGTTTTTATAATTGTTTAATATTATAATGTAGCGACGCTTTAGGTTGATTACCGTTAAAGGATAATAATGGCGATTGTTACTGTTGCCGTTTGGCGTCCGTCGTAGTTGGCCGCGTCATGATGATATTGTACATGCAAATCGGCGCCTGTACTTGTCATGTGAAAACGACAAGTCCTTAACTGCTGCCCTTATTATTATTGGAAGCGAGTAGTGCATGTAGCTGTTTCTGGACTCGACGGGACCAGCCACTAAATCTGCATTTGCAAACGGCATCACGGACATTCTCCCTGTAAACCGCATTTTTAATATTTACCCCCAATTAATCTCTTTCTCTCTGTATCTATTACCCTCTGCGTTTCTATTTTCCTCTGTTAATAGCTAAGGTTTCCGTAAATATTTTGCGGTATTCTGATAACCAACAGGACGGCGAATTTGATCATTGTGTTCTTTATCTGTATATGAAGTGGATACATTGTGTTTTACCTTATTAAAGGTTAGAGGTCATTTCTTTGACTGATTTGGTTTATCGTGAGTATTATAAATGATATGTCACCACACTGCTCGGAACGATTATCCTTTTATTGTTTGCCTAATACTTTTTTCATTTCGTTCGAAAACGTGCCCATACATCATCGCAAATATTACAACATTATGTTATACTAAAACAGGTAATTGATAAGAGGTCTTTATATTAAGCTTGCCTTGTGCAGAGTGGGTGTGGGTATATTTATGTTTATGTTTATTTTTGGGTATTTAAGATCATAAAATTGAAATATTTTAATGGTATACAAAGTGAAAGGCTAATCTCATAAAGTTCCAGGAATCCAAAGTGATTTGTTTTGTTCCGTTTTGACATTTACTTAAGGAAAGCTAATGAACTAATTTCTCGCCAAGTAAATTAGTTATTGTAGGTGGTACAATTTCAAAGGGGATCTTCTAAAGCCGAGCCTGTATCGGAAACGTAAAATTCCTGCGGAAGTGTTTAAAAGGAATTTACTTATTCGTGCTTCAGTAATTTAGTGTTTGGTTTTAAATTTTGAGCCAATTACCCTGTAAAAACAATGTTATCTTTCATTGTGAAAGGCGGATAAGCTGAAAATGTATCTCAGGGGTGGAACAGAATACATTTATTTGGCTCTGGACCATCTAAATCATAAAATATTGCGCCAAGAAAAGAATTGGTAAATGGCAAAAGCCATCAGAGAAATAAGAAGTGTAATAACTCGGTCTATTCACGCGTAGCAATTTCGATATCCTTATAATCCAATCGGTCG